GAGGCTGAGGCAAGACAACTGCTCGAGTCTGGGTGGCGGAGGTTGCAGTGAGCCAAGATTGTACCACTTCACTCCAGCCTGGGTGACAGAGTGAGACTCTGTCTCCCAAAAAGAAAGGTCAGTTGTGGGTCCATGTCTATGAACTTGGCTCTATCCTTTGCCATTTTTTTCCTATTGGGTTGTTGTTTTTTTCTTATTGATCTCTAGAAGTGCTTTATATATTAAGGAAACTGGCCTTTGCCATCCACATGTATTGTAAACACTTTTTTGCTTTGTTGTTTGTGTGGCAACTTTTGTTTGACATTTGAATTACATTTTTTGTATAATCAAATTTATTATTATTTTAAAAAATGTGTTTCACATTTTGTGTTATGTTAAGAAAGATCTTTCTCACTCTGAGATTTTTTTTTAATGTTCTATTTTCTAATGCTTTTATGGTTTTAGTTTTAGGGATTACATTTCTGATCCATCTGGAATTTATTTTGGTGTGAAGAGTAAGGTAGGGATTCAGTGTTAATTTTTCCCAGATGACCACTTGGTTGTCCCGTTGAATTGGGATCTTTTGTTCGTTTGCTTGTTTTGAGATGGAGTCTTGCTCTGTTGCCCAGGCTGGAGTGCAGTGGCTCAATCTTGGCTTACTGCGACCACCACCTCCTGGGTTCAAGTGATTCTCCTGCCTCAGCCTCCCAAGAAGCTGGGATTACAGTCATGCACTACCACATCCAGCTAATTTTTGCATTTTTAGTAGAGAAGGGATTTTACCATGTTGGCCAGGCTGGTCTTGAACTCCCGGCCTCAAGTGATCCGCCTGCTTCGGCCTCCCAAAGGGCTGGCTCACAGGCATGAGCCACTGCGCCCGGCCGAATTGGGATCTTTTGAATAATCCTTCTTTACTCCATTGATGTAAATTTTGAAATGGATGTTCCTTAAATGTTTCCTTGGCATGTACAGTCACGTGTCCCTTTACTGGGGAGATGTGTTCTGGGAAATGCATTATTAGGCAACTTCCTTATGTGAACATCAGAGTGACTTACAGAAACCTAGACTGTACAGCCTGCTACACACCCAGGTTATGTGGTGTAGCCTGTTGCTCCCAGGCCGCAAACTTGAACAGTATGTCCTTGTCCTGAATACTGCAGGCAATTGTAACACAATGCAAGCGTTTATATATCCATACAGAGAAAAGATACTGTAAGAATATGGCATACAGGATAAAAAGTGTCCGTGTCTATGGGGCGCTTACCGTGAATGGAGCTTGCCGGAGTGGAAGTTGCTCTGGGCGACTGAGTGAGTGAGTGGTGAGTGAATGGGAAGGCCTGGGACGTTACCACAGACTACTGCAGACTTTATAAACACTGCACACTCAGGCTAATTTAGAAAATATGTTTTTCTTTTGTCAATAATAAATTAACCTTAGCTTACTGTAACTTTTTCATTTTATAAACTTTTTGTTTTAACTTTGTGACTCTTTTGTAACAACACTGACTTTAAAACACAAAGACATTTGTACAGCTGTGCAAAAACACTTCCTTTACATCCTTAGTCTGTAAGTTTTTTCTATTTTTAGTTTTTTTAACTGCTTAAACTTTTTTGTTAAAAACAAAGACAAAGGCCGGGCGCGGTGGCTCACGCCTGGAATCCCAGCACTTTGGGAGGCCGAGGCGGGCGGATCACAAGGTCAAGAGATTGAGACCATCCTGGCCAACATGGTGAAACCTCATCTCTACTAAAAATACAAAAATTACTGGGTGTGGTGGCACACGCCTGTGATCCCAGCTACTCAGGAGGCTGAGGAGGAAGAATCGCTTGAACACAGGAGGCAGAGGTTGCAGTGAGCCAAGACTGCGCCACTGCACTCCAGACTGGAGACAGAGCAAGACTCCATCTAAAAAAAAAATAATAATACACTAATACACATTAGCCAGGTCTTAGCTCAGGACCATCAGTCTCACTGTCTTCCACCACCACAGCTTGTCCCGCTGGAAGGGTTTCTGGCGCAGTAACACGCACTGAGCTGTCATCTCCTAGGATAGCAACGCCTTCCTTCCTCTGGAACACCTCCCAAAGGACCTGCCTCCGGCTGTTTTACAAGTAAGTTTTTTTTTAATTAGCAGAAGGTATACACTCTAAAATAATGATTAAAATTACAGCAAATACATAAACCGGTAACATACTAGTTTATTGCTCTTACCAAATACCATGCAACTGTACATACAGTATTTGTATGTGCTGGACTTTATATGACTGGCAGTGCAGAAGGTTTGTTTGCACCAGCATCCCCACAAACACATGAGTGACGCGTTGTACTGCGACATGATGACAGCGATGACGTCACCAGGTGACAGGATTATGATTTTTAATTTTTTTTGAGACAGGGTCTCGCCCTGTTGCTGAGGCTGGAGTGCAGGGATGCAAACATGGCAGACTGCAGCCTCTACTTCCTCGGCAGGAATTTTTCAGCTCCTTGGTCATTTTATGGGACCACCATAGTGTATGCAGTGCCTGATGGTATTTAGTACGGAGGCAGAGAGGAGGGGGATGGCTGGACGTGTCTTCACCTCAGCATTATCTTCTCAGATGGATCCTTCTCAGTTCAGGACCCAAACTTGGAAACTACTCAGAGAAGGAAAGGCCCTCCAGTTGCAGAGTCCTCCTCTCCCCAGAAGGCAGCTTAGTGATGCTTGGCACTGCTCCGCCCCACCTTCATCTCCAGAGTTGGACGAAATGCTCTTTCCAATCTCTGGGGGATGTGATTTTCTCCTTCTCATCGTATTTCCCGGTTGCTGCCTGGGTCAGCTTTCTGGCTGGGCTACCACCTATGGGGTGCCCACTGGGGCTCCAATCTGCACCATGTATGAGAGTAAGAGGCTTTGTCTCTAATCATCAGCGCACTAATCCTCGTGGATGCTCATTCTGCCCCATCTCAGGGATGAGGAAGACAGACCCGGAGAGGTTCTGCCTTCCCGCATCCCAGGCTGTGGGTAACAAGTGCAGAATTTGAACCAGCTCTTACTCCAGAGACTGAACCCTTGGCTCCCTGGGGTGCTATCATTGGAAAGCAGAACCTCCGGCATCACTAAGAGCAGTCCGGTGGCCTGGGGGTGGGGGTATCAAGTTCAAGAGCATTGTCATCAGGGTCTCCCATTCTCGTTGCCCCTCAGGGCTCCCCTGGAAGCCATGGCCACGTGCACATGCATCGCAGACCCTACCAGCCAACCAGAATGCCACTCCCTGGGCCAGTGTCTTCCTTTGGGTTCTTAGGAGTGTGGTCAAAACGCTCCTCTACCAAGACCCGTGCCCACAGGCGCACTCGATGTTGGGCACCCACAGATGTAATGAGTTTTAGTTTTCATTATCTCCAGTTCTAAGAGTGAAGGCAACATAGTAGCCAGTCCAGGCCCTGATTCCCCAGGTGAGACTGACTGCTGCTGCTGCATGTGATGGGAGCCCCATCATTGGAACCCATGCGACCACGCGACGCAGGCTAGCAGCCCTTACCCTGCCCGACAGCCGCAGGGCGGGGAATGCCCTTTATAACATTCACTCTTTAAAGGCCACCTGGATCATTGTTTTCTTTTTCTAAATCTCAGCTTATTCAAAGAAAAATGGCTTTAGCTTGGCATGTGAAAAAGGTCAGGACACTACACTGTTGGAAATGGCTATGTGCTTGAAAAGAACCGAGAGTCCTCTGAATACGCAGCTTCCCCAGCCTCTTCACAGTGCGGTGTTTCACCCATTTCGTGAAGTCCAAAGAAAGTGATTTTTACATCCTGTCATCTGTAGGGGAGGGGATAGATCAGCCCACCACCAGGCTAACTGGGAGAGATTTATTTTTCTTAAGATATGAAGAGTTACAGTGGTCCTGGAATCTGTCAACAGTCAGATTCTTTTTTTCCAATCATAAACAATTGTGTTTTTATTTTTAAAAGTTTTTATTTTATGTTCATCTTAATTTTCCCAGGCTTTTCCTCTTAAAAAATTTTAAGCCGTAGAAAACTTGCAAGAATATAAATTTACCAGCAGTTAATATTTACCACATTTGCTATATCCTTCTCTATGTAAATGGATTCATTGGTTTAGAAAAAAAAAACAGTATCTTTCCTCCCCTTCTCTCCCCTCCCTTCCCCATCACTGTTCTTTTCTTTGACTTTTTGTTTCTTTCCTTCCTTTCTTCTTTCTCTTTCTCCCCCTACTCCATCTTCTTTCTTTCCTTTTTTTCCCTTTCCTCTTCTTTTTACTTCTTTATTTACCTTTTAGAGACAGGGTCTCACTCTGTTTCCCAGTCTGGAGTATAGTGACATGATCATAGCTCACTGCAGCCTTGAACTCCTGGCTCAAGCAATCCTCCTGCCTCGGCCTCCTGAGTAGCCAGGAATACAGATGTGCACTACCACCCCTGGCTCATTTTTTTATTCTTTGTAAAGACGGGGTCTCACTATGTTGCCTATACTAGTCTCAAACTCCTGGCCTCAAGGGATCGCCCTGTCTTGGCCTCCCAAAGCGCTGGGATTACACGTGTGAGCCACTGCACCAGGCCTTGTCTCTTTATACATTTGAGCACAGTTGCAGATATCTTGACATTTTATCTAAATATTTCCAGATGTCTCTTCTAAGATAGCAATCATTTTCTCACACAAGAACAAAACCATGACCATCCTCAATGAATTTAATGTAGATACAAGACTGGTCTCTCTACAGGGCCCATGTCCAAATGTTGCAAGTTGTCCTTGTCATGTTCATGTCCCTTTTTATCCAGGACCCAGCCAAGGCCGCCTCCCTCCATCGTGCCTCTGCCCAAGCTCCTCTCACGTGGCGCCGCCTCGGGGCCTGTCTTGTCTTTCAAACATTCAGCCATTTGTTTGGCAGAAGGTGCCTCCGTTTGGATTTGACTGATTGCTCTTCAGGAAAAGATTCAGTTTTGTATTAGTCTGTTTTCTGTTGCTGTCTCTGAATATCTGAAACTGGGTGATTTGTAAAGAAATGAAATTTATTTCTTACAGTTCTGGAGCTGGGAAGTGCAAGACTGAGGAGCTGCATCTGATGAAGGCCTTCCTGCTGGTGGGGCCTCTCTGCAGAGTCCTGAGGTGCTGCAGGGGATCTCGTGCAGAGGTAGGAGAAAGAGCCAAGCTGACTTTTTAATGACCCACCACCGTGATAAACCAAGAACCTATTAGTACATGAATGGCCCTCATGATGCAATCCCTTTCAAAGGCTCCACCTTTTAATGCTGTCACAGTAGGAATTAAATTTTAACACCAATTTCAAAGGAGACAAATCTTCAAACCATAGGAAAGTTAAGCTTTTTTGAAGGGACAGGAATAATCATATTTTTTAATTCTATTTGTGTGCATGTGTGTCCTTTTTAGAGATCGGTCTCACTCTGTCCTCCAGGCTGGAGTGCAGTGGCTCAATCATAGCTCACTGCAGCCTTGAACTCCTGGGCTCAAGTGATCCTCTTACCTCAGCCTCCTGAGTATCTGGGACTACAGATGTGTGCCAATGCACTCAGCTAATTATTTTTTATTTTTTAGAGGTGGGGTCTCTCTATATCACCCAGGCTAGTTTTGAACTCCTGGCATCAAGCAATCCTCCCATCTCAGCCTCCCAAAGCAGTGAAATTACAGGAGTGAGCCACTGTGCCTGGCCAAGAAGCTGTACAAATACACACGTACTAGAGTGTTTCTTCTTCTCCTGCACCCCAGTGGGTGACCCAGTTTCCTTCCGGGCAGCAAATCACATCCCCAGTGTCTGTCTCCTCCCACAGATGACACAAGGGGTGTGTTGAATGGTGGCTCCTGCATCTGTAGCTGGATAGTTTGATGTGTCTGATTGTGTCACCCTCTTGCCTAGAAACCTTGGAAGGCTCTCGGAAGGCCAACTAAGATCTTGGTTGGCCCGCAGGATCTGGCCCACCTCACAGCTTCACCTGGTTCTACTCTCTGGCTTAGAGAGACCCCCACCACGATGGCCTCCCTCCAGCCTGCGCATGGACCCTCAGATATGCCATTCCCACTCTCCTACTCTCTGGAAAGCTTTTCCTCCCTTACCCCAGCAGCTTCTCATCAGCCTGCATGTCTTGGCTCCCAATCCCCCTTCCACTGGGAAGTGGTCCCCAAATCCCAGGCACAGTCCTATCACCTGGTAATGCCCCTCTCAGGGACACTGTGTTCCCTCTCTGCTCCAGGAGGGAGGAAGCTCTTCTAATGTAGGCACCAAGTGCCGTGCCGGGTGCATAACTGGCTTTCAGTAAACATTGGTGGAGAGAGCGAATGTGCTCATGAATCCCTCACACCACAGAAGGAGGGGCCAGAGCCAGGGGTGGAGGTGGGAGCAGAGGAAGCCCGGGACTGGCTGCTGAGGAAGGTTCTCTCTGATGGTGCAGCAATTGCAGGTCAAGCCCAGGGTCAAGATAAAGCACCAAATATCCCGAAGGTGTTGGTGGTCAGCAATGGGGCCAGCTGGATGTTGCCAGTGGGTAACGTCCTGCTCTGCCAGGTCTGAGGCTCAGAGTTCCCAAATGAGCAAGCAAGTTTCTAGGAGAGAAAGGGGAGAACCAGACCAGACATTCGGTCAGGGACAAGGGACCCAACCAAATGGGGAGGGAGACCTGGGACTGCATTGCGGGCAGTTGGTTCCCTCTCCAACGTCTGGAGCCAGCTTAGGCCACAGAAGATACATACCATGACACTGATTTAACAAAGTCCTGCAGCGTTCGCTGGGCCGGGAAAGGTTGTTTAAGGGAGGAACAGGACAATCTCTGCAAACGAATATGTTTCATGTTTTTGGCCTAAGGCCAGAGGGAAAAGCCAAGTTCACCAACAGCACCCCACACTCCCTCCCAACTTCCCGCCTGAAGTGGGAGGCAGGGGGAAGCCCAGCAAAGCCCTCCACACTGTGTGACTGCAGGTGCAAAGGATATGTACAGAGAAAAGAAAAGCCTCAGCAGGGTTTTTCTTCAGTGCACGGAGCTGGTTTTGTTTTATTTTGTTTTTTAGGGTTTCCTGCAACTTTCCATTTTTTTTTCTATACACAAATGCCAATAATATTGACGGTTTTACCAAAGAAAAAACCCTTTGCAGAGATTCTGTACACATCCTGTGAGAGTACTGGTTCTAAACCTTGACTACATGTGGAAATCACCTAGGGAACTCTAAACACACTGGTGCCTGGGTCCCACCATGAGGTAATTCAGCTGTAAGCGCTTGGGAGTGTGGCCTGCCAGGTGATTACGATTTGCAGCCAGATTGAAGGCCACCACCCTAAAAGTTCGAGAGGCAGAATCAAAGCCAGGCTCTTACCAAACTTCATATCCAGGAAGGCCGTGTTCGGTTGTATGAGCTGCGTACTGCATTCCTCCAGGGGACACCATTTGCATAGCCTATAACATAAAAGGGCCTCCCTGGAGTTGTGCAATGTGGCAGCCTTTTAAGGATGGATATGTAAATCACGTATTCATAGATACATAATTGAAACATTGATTGCATCGTTCACTATATGGCTCAGTGGGAGGGATGGCAACAATGCTCACTGGGATATACAGAGCATTTTAGGAGACCTAGTTTATATCATCTGGGATTTTAAAACCTGGTGAATCATTCTCAACGAAGATGATTATAAATTTTAAAAATAAATAAAAATAAAATCTGATGAAGGCTAAGATGATAATAAAAACACCAAAAGTCAAGGTGACCATGTCAGTCTGGAACCACGGGCTGTACTGGACAGGGAAGACTGGGAGAATGTGTCTGAGAGGGCTGGGATGCGTAGAAGCACAAGTTTGGATGGAAAGTCTGCAGCAGGCAGTCCGTGGAGGTGTGGCTGGTGGGAGAATTGTTGGAGCAATGGGACGGTCATGTGAGTCTTCTCCCTCTGCCATGAAGCCTTCTTGTTTCTGCCACTGCTGTCATTCAGAGATTGAATCTAAGTCCCTGCCTTTGAACCTGAAGCAGACTTTGACTTCTTTTGGCAAGTAGAATGCAGTGCAAGTGATGCTATGTAAGTATCACGGTTTCAGTCTTTTTTAGCTTCTGCCTTTGCTTCTTCATGGCTCCTTCTTGGACTCTCACTGCCATTCTGTGAGGAAGCCCAATCAGCCAAGTGGAGAGGCCCACACAGAGAGGAACCAAGGCTGCCAGTCAACAGCTCCGCAGATCCCCCAGCGGGTAGCCCAGTGGAGCCATGTGAGTGAGGCCATTCTGCACCTTCTAGCCATCCCAGGGTCCCAGCTGATAGTACTTGAGGCAGAGGAACCACCTGGTCAACCCACAGAATGGAGGGAAATGATACATTTTTGTTGTTTTGAGTCACCAAGTTTCACAGCATTTTGTGACTCAGAAATAGGTGGCTGAAGCAGGACCACTTCAGCTCTGCAGGTGCACACTGGCCAATCTGCTGGAAGGATACGTGGGTTGAACTGGCTCTGAGGCCTTCTGAGGTTAGAGGTGCTAGAAGATTCTAATAGGTAAAAGTTTCTTTACAAAAATTATATTTATCAAAGTTATAAGTATGTAACAACTCAGTTACATCAGAAAGGCTTACCATGAAAAGCAATCGTGTCTCTCCCGCTGTACTTGCCCCTATTCACTCCCAGTCCTTCTCCCCCAAGACAAGACATCTTTTTGCCAATTGCTATTTATGGATTTTCTCCAGACTCAAGATCACCTACTGACACCTCCATCTCTCAGTTACCATCTTTAGACGACAGCTGGTCACTCCCCAGATCTAAGACGAGCATTCAGCTCACTGCTCCCAATGTCTGAATTTCATGACTAGTTTTGGCTCCTGCATGAGCATTTCCTCTTCTGACAGCAGTTGCTGATTCCCATCTCTGTAAGATGAGGACCTCAGGGCCCCTCCCTTTCTGTCCGCTTTTCTCTTTGTTTGGGGGGCTCTGCTTCTACCACTTCATAGCACTGCGGTGTTTAATCTCAGGTGCACGGGCTTCCTGGGAGAGCAGCCATGAATTCCTTAAAATTAAGTGTAAAATTGTGTATGTATTTATGGTTCATTTCCTGGGGAGAGTTCAGAGCTATTATCAGATACTCCCAGAGGGGTCAAGCCCGGGTGCTGCTGCATGGGACTCCGTACTGAGGTCTTCCGTCTGCCCCCAGAGTCACCCTCATCCTTCTTCAGGCTTCCCAATGGGTGTGGCCAATGTCCCCCCCCCGCCCCACCCCCACAGGAGTAGCGGGAGGGGAAGGAGGAGAGTGAGGAAGGGCACTTGTTTATTCCTGTGGCTCTGTCTCTGCTGGCTCATCTCAGGCTGGCTGAGTCTCTGCTGAAGCACCTTACTTCACCAATGGTGGGCCTCTCCACTCGGCTGTCTCCTTTGGTAAACACTTGCTCCTAGCCCCAGGTCACTGCATCTTTCCCAATGGTCCTACCGCACCCTTCCATACCTTTGTAAACCGTCCTTTTAATGTCATCTCAATTCTCTTGATTGTGACATTTGCTTCCTCTTGGGGCTCTGTAATGACCATGTCCCTTGGACACTAACTCTAAGACAGAGCGCAGGAAGTTTTCCGAGAGTGCTCTTGGGCAAAGGGAAGTCAAACTGCGATGTCATCACCGTTAGGGCTGGAGCTGGCCCCGTGGGAGATCTGAAGCTGGGACAGTCTTTGGAGTTATTCCAGCCCAGGCAAGAGAACCTGAATGACCAGACTTTGGATAGCAGGAGGTCATCAGCTTGGTCAAACAGGGTCTCTTCAGGCGAGGGCAATCCTCAGGAAGGCCCCTTGGCAGCAGCGATAGCCTGGCCTCTAAGGGCAAGGAGAACCTGGGTCTCAAAGTGGGAAGGGTTGGGGGTTACAGGGAGGCCCCTGGAATGCGCTGCAGACCCAACCTTGGTCTGGTCGGCTAGGCCCGGCCTTTCGGTTCACTGTGTCCTGACAGTGAACACCGTGTCTCACACAGAGTAGGAGCTCAGCCAGTATTTGTTGAACAAATGAGGGAATAACAATAAGCTTTTTTAATTGATTAAAATTCATAACCTCAGAGTGCTTATGTATCGCTGCTTTTTTCCATTTTTATTTTTTAACTCTTTGTTTTGAAATACTTTCACACTTAGAAAAAACTTATAAAAATCATCCAGATTTCCCAATTGTTAACAT